GGCTTCTTCTTCACTGGGATCGTTTCACTGTTGCATCCTGTGTAATTTTTTTTTTGTTTAAGAGTAAGAGGAAGCACATGGCAGAAAACTGAGAGCAAAAATCCTACACAGAAACCTAACTTCCTGTGATTGCTTCAGCTCCTTCAAGTCCAGAAGTATCAAGCCAGTGAGATCCTGGTGATCATCAGCACTATTAGAAAATTCCTAACAATGCAATTATTTCAAGGATCCTTGAAACAATACAGGCAGAATCAATGAAGTAAAAGTGGCTGCCAGTGGCTAAACCACACAAAACAAGACAAGGAATGTAAGAACCAATGGTTTGCTCTGAGTATAGTGTAGGTGCAGCTTCACAGTGAGACAAGCAGCTGTGGAAGATTTGTATTAAACAAAGCAGAAGTGAAATTACTTACTAAAAAGCAACACAAAACTATCTCTAAGGACTTCACGACGCATCTATTAAAAGTGAGAAGTACACAGAGCTATTTAGCTTTCTGCAGCTGAAAAGAAGGTGAGCAAGCCAGCTGCCAGTCACTGAGCTGGGCTGAGCTAGGAGTCCTAGAAGTCTATTCTTGTTGCTGCAGCTTCTGCAGTCTGCTAGTGCTGCTGCCAGGAAGATAAGGGGTGCAAGGTGAGGGGGGCAAAGGGGGCCTGATGTAATATTGATCTGTGCTACTTTGAGGCAGCAGCTCTTTCCTTAGCCATGTATACACGGATGCTGTTACTGTGCCTGCTGCCAGTGGAACCAGAATCAACACATGCCACAAAAATAAGTCTTGCTGTCCCAGGGAACCAGGGTTTATGTTACCTTCATGGGATCATCTGAATCTACACACTGATCCTAGAGTCCAGCTGCTGAAGGTGTTCGAGAACTCCATAGGGAATGGTGGGATTCCACATCCTGCAGGGATACATTCAGAAAGGAAACATTTTAAGAAGCATAACTTGGTTCACAGCTTTTTTGTGCATTTGTTATGATAAGTTTGTGTTTTGTTTTGAAGCTCATCCTATAAAATATTTAAGCTATGGAACCAATGAAAATGCATTTTCATTTAAAATAAATCATTTTAGTCACCCATAACCTGGCTGATTTTGGTTATAGGACACTGTACAGGCCTGTCTCCCTAACTGTTCTTTAGCTTCCTATCAAACTCACTTCCTCTGAATGTGTACTGGCAGCTTCAATCTACTTAGCTTTTAATAATATCTGCTCATTGTCTATTCTTCAAACACAAGTCCTGTAGGACAGAGTAGTTCAGGTACTATGAAGGGAGGCTCAGTATAAACTGTGCTTAATGCAGGAAAAGCTTGCTTGCCTGGCACGATTGGGAATTAATGCAGCTGAAATCAGGGACATTTTTAACATTTCTGTGATATCTTTTTTTGTCCCTCTTGTAAATCTGACAAATACAGAGCACAGCATTAGCATGAATTCTAACCCAGTTTACAGAACAAGATCAAACAAACAGCACATGAAGAGACTTACACCAAGCTCTTTATATGGGGACATTTTCGTAGGCTGTCAGTCAGCTGCTGGGCTCCAACACCAGTTATTTTGTTATACTGAACACTGAGGAAAAAAACTGACTTGGTTAGTCCAGATCACAATGTAGTGGTATAATCAAACATTTAATGAAAAAAAACCCTAAACCAAAACACAACAACCAAACTATACAGCCTGATCTGCAGACGGGGGAAGAAAGAAAAATTATTTTAAAAAAAAAAAAGATTGTTGACTTGAAAAGTCTCTAATAAAATACTCAAAAGTTCAGACTGGAACATCATTAAGTTAGTTCATCTGAGGGACATCTATGTACCCAAGATCCTTCTTCAACTCCCCAGGACCCTAATACCATCTTAAAACCAATTTTCCAGTTTTTATGGTGAGCTGCTCCTTAATCCTTTCTAACCACTGACTATCTGGACTCTGCATAAGCATGTTTTCCCTGTGAAATTTCCATGAAATTTGCCTCCCCTAATTCTGTCTCCTCTAGCCCAAGCATGGAAGATTTGAATTTTCAGTATCCAAGTAAGCAAGTTTTCTTTCTCCAAAGATTTCATACTCACTCAAGCACTCTTAAAGATTCCATCACAGGAAGAACTTTTGCAAGATTTTCTGCTCCGAAATCACAGATGCTGTTGTTGTATAAGCTGCAGAAAACCAAACCAGTGTAGTCACAGTTGAATAGTGGGTAATATAAACAGATTACATATTAGAACAAGGAATTTCAGATATGTTTAGTAGGTCAAACTTCCAATTTCTCCTTATCTATTGGCAGTTGGTGTTTAAAACACTGTTTTATATTTTCTGTGTCAATCAATACAGGAGGCCACACCCCTGCTCCAGCTAGCACAGCTAGAACAGAAACAGACCTAGACTCCTAATGAATAATCAGACATTTCTGTCTACATTAGGTCAAATTAAAAATCTGCAAGAAAATGTAAGCTCAAAGATTTGGTGCACAGCATTCAAAAGATTTTCACATGAGCAAGTTGTTCCAGAATTGCACACCAGGGCTTCTTCCCTTCATCCAGGCTCAGGCCAGACATCCTAATGGTGTGGGATGGACCACTGGGCCCCTAGCACCAACCACACACTCCATCCCTGCTGGCTGAAGGCTTATCCCTGCACTCTGCAGGCTCCACACAAGCTTGCAGTAGATCTTGGCCTTGGGTGTGCATTTGTACAGGGTATTATTCATAAGTGGGTATTAAGGATTGGATTTAAAAATCAGTACAGTCCTCATTATGTCCCTGAGGTATCCTTCAGTATGTCTAGACTGGCTCATACATTTCTCTCCTCTTCCCTCTAAAGGTTTTATGCAAGGATGAAGTCAAAAGCTTGGCTGCTGCACAGTGTGGATATTAGTTCCACACTCAGCAATTTGACAGAGATAACAAGGTACATTGAACAAAACAACTGAACAGGATACAACTACTTACCTTAGTGTCTTTAATGAAGACAAGGAAGGAAGGGCTGTAGCTAGTTTCTCAGCACCCACATCTGTTATCTTGTTCTGTGATAAGCTACAGTAAGCGAGATCACTGTTAGTTGTGCACATTTATTCTAATCTATTACAATGTGGGGAAAAATCTTTTCAATGTATTTTTTATTTAATTTGAAGAGTCTGTTTAGGCCAAATACAGGGAGAAAGACAAAGTATGGCCCTTGAAGGGAAATGAGGAATTGCCGTAGGATTAACCTATTTCTCTAATTTATGTAAAGATTAAGTATGTCCATAGACTCATTGGTCTTCCATGCTCATGGGCTAGTTGTGCCCATAATTGTTAACGCACAGTCCCTTAAGGCTCTAGGTTTAATCTATTTCTTTTCAAAATTTTCCAGAACTGTTAACCCTGCACTTACTTTAGTGTTTCCAGTGATTTCAGGGTTGGAAAGACTTCAGAGAGACTCTTTGCTCCTTCATCTCCTATGCCATTTTGACTCAGAGCATCAAGGCTGGGTGAGGACAAAAGGAGAATTAGCTTCCCATTTAATTTAGATTTCTGCATTTTATTGACCTCAGAGACCACTCTGTACATCTTGAGAAGCTCCTTCACTTCAGTAGCCTCAATCAGCAAGAAGCATCACACAAACCACAGCTTCTCTAATAAGCAGCTTTCTGCTTCTCAAATTTATACAGCACAGGATTTTTTTTTACTCGTTGAATGGATTGACCCAGTTGCTTTGATATGCAAATGGAGCACTTAATGCCTTGCATCCACCATACACTGAAGATTATTAAGATGGTTATGAAATAACTGAGTTCCAGCTATGCTGAAATGAGATTTCCTGTGCACACAGAAATATAGAACTGACAAAATCCTGCAGATGCTGTAGAGCTCTGCCTAAACAGCTCCTTCTCCAGATGGGGAGTATTAGAAATGAAGTTCTTCCTCATTCAGGTATCCAGACAGAAAGAATTCTAGATAGTCACAATTTTAGATAAGGGATCTTCTAATCTGACAGACAATGCTGGGTTACCTAGGACTCATTCCAACTTCAGAGCTTTGTTTTCCCAAAATATCATGAAAAGGTCAGATATAATACAGACAAACAGCCAATGGGCTGAGGTGGTAAGACTAAAGGTCTTCTCAAAACCCAGTAATCTTCCCATAGAGATAATGGCAGAATATTGACTATCGTTGCTATACCTGTTTCTAGCACAGAGAAGCTTAACATTCAGACAGCTGTTTTGTCATAGATACAAGAGAATAAATAGTAACTGGTGCTCTTAAAACTCTATTTTTAATGCTGCTCCTAGTAAAGCAATGGACAAAGGCTGTGAAATTATGTGGGCAAAACAAAACTAGGTACTAGCTAAGCATGGCCCTTTTATCTCTTTTATACAAATCATATCCACAAAGTTCAATCTCTTACAAATTCTGCCAGAGGTCTGGGATGATGGTTGACACCAGAAGGTGCACAGCACCAACACAAATGCTGAAAATTACCCTCCAAGTTTATTTCTGCTTCTAGGTCAGGAGGAAGCCTGTTCTCTCCTGAGGCAGACATGACCATGAGTCCCTCACACCTCAACATGGGGAAGCCAGGAGCTCAGGCACATTATCAGCTTGAGTCCCTCACACCTCAACATGGGGAAGCCAGGAGCTCAGGCACATTATCAGCTTGAGTGAAGAAACAAGTAATCTGCAGGCAGTATTGATCAGTGCCCTGGCAGGAAGGGAGAGCACCTGAGTGGGGCTTTGTACTAAACCTTTTCAACAAGGTTTTATCCACTGAGGAGCTGTGGTTAAAGTGGAAGTGACTGAAGGGGTATCTAACAAACCCCTAGTGTCGAAACACCCCAAGTGTCTCAAGGGAGGATGAAGAGCCCAAGTTTTCAGTCTGCTGTTACATTCTCTGAATGTTTTTGTTGTTCAGTTTGTTCAAAGCAAGTACTGTTGTTGGCAAATAAAATGTTTCTTTTGTACATGAGCTCCCCCATCAGCAAGGGCTGCTGAGCAGCAGCATTAGCAAAGTTAATCTTTAGCGTTACTCACTCTAAATGTTGAAGTGATGGGAATGCTGCCAGGATTTCCACAAGTTTTAGGAGTCCCTGAAGGCCACACACTGGACCTAGCCTGGAAGAAAATCAATATGCCGACATGCAGCTGTGTTTTCACATGCTCCAAAACAGCAGAAGTTATGAATTTTAAGTTCTTTCCCTGCATCCCCAAACACAAGCTACTTTACACTCCTCAGAAGCAGCCATTCCCTACAACCTGCAGCAAGGATTTCTGCTTTGAATCCTCCAGATAAGAACCCCACAAGCCTTAGGTCAGAGCACAGCAGCTTGCACAGAAGCACCAGAACATGCAGCTGCCACTTTTTTGTTACTCTTTTCAAGACTCAACTCCCTTATTTTAGATTCTTTTATTTCTGTTCTTTTTAAAATTATTATTTATGTCTAATTTTTTTCAGGTTTTTTATTTTAAGTATTAGAATCTTGATAACTGAGATGAAAAAAATAATCTTCTTTTCCCCCAGCGAGTAGTGGAAATCAAACAAAACTGATAGAACCATGTTGATCTGTGTTACTGCAGGAGCCAGACATAATTTTTTTTTTAGTTTTACTTTTGGCCATAACTTAATAAATTGAGTTGAGAAAAGCAAAACAGCAATACATAGGTTTACTTAATGATTAACTATAAGCTAACTATACATCAGCCCAAGGACTGCAGCCAACACCCTTGCATCTTCTCAGTCTTACATGGATACATTTAAGAACAGAGAGGTGTTTCACTTACGCAAATTCTAGTTTTTGAAGGTTTTTGATGGCAGGAATTTCATAGCTGCTGCAACCAGATGCCTCTTGCACACTAAATAAATCACAGTAGAAGAGTATGATAAATATTCTAGCAATCAAACCAGTGCTTTAAAAATAATTTCTAGTGAACTTTTACAGAAAATAAACCACTACTTCATTAACTGAGGACCCTGGGAAATTCAGAATAACTTCTGCTCCTACCTTTCTTCATTTGATTAATTTCCATCTGATAATTTGCTTTCACAGTGCTCTTTTCCCAATCAAGTTTTAAAAGACATTCTTCTAATTCAAGTATTTTCTGTCAAACATGAAGCTTATTTTTTGTATCTTTTAATCACAATACTCCACCCATGTTAAAATGGAAGTCACAATTTTTATTAAAAAAACCCCAAAGCACTCCGGCTAAGCATGCTTTTAATTGCAACCAACCCCCTAGCCACCTCATAAGCAGGGATGAAACACAGAGTTTGTAGTTCACAGGGCACAAGCTTTTACTTCCTGAGCTGAAGGACTGACTTGGGTCATTTGTGACCAGTGGAAAATGAGACTTCACTTATGGCACAGGTGCTGCAGGGGGAAGACCAGTTATCCCAAGTTATGTAATTGAAAGCAATTGGAAGGCAGCATCCTCAGAAATGAAAAAGAAATCTGAATTAAAAAAAATACAGCTGGCTTTTTTATTGGCAGTTTTGATAAATATTCTGCATGGTGCTGTCATTGCTCCTCCCTGCCATGACAAACACCAGACATCAGGGCAGAAGAATGCTCCAACATGACACGAGCTTGCACTGCCTGAGCTACTTCTGCTTAGAACGAGCAGAGAACTCATTCTCCAGCACTGTCAGTGAACCCCCATTTTCTTAAATTGCTAGTATATTAAGATACTTTTGATCATAAAAGAGCCTACCAGCTAATCATCTTCTGCACCTCTACAAGGTCTGAAAGGTCACTGATGTCCTTCATTGTCTTTGCCTTAAAGGGGCCAAGAACAAATTTCTCTGTTGATGCTCTGAGCAGCTCGTAGTCTTTTGTCTGTTCTAAAGATTTCCAGAGCCTGACTGCATCACTGAGGGAGGCCCTGTGAAGTGACAAAACATCAACAGATAAGACTTCTGTTGTTGCATGAAAGTGTCATCTACAGACAGTCCTATGAATGACTCTACAAAGAATGACCAACCTGAATGATGCCACGTTCTTTAAGCCAATCAAGTCTTTTAGCCCTTGCATGTCAATGCTGCTGTTTCGCAAATCCAAGGAAAACTCTTTTCTTGACCTTTTTAAAATAGAGTGCACTACATGGACATCAGGTGGTGTAAGACCTACGTCCAGAAAAGACAGGTCTGGTTTGAGCCTTAAGGCCACATGCTGCAAGAGATAATTGTTTTGTGTTTCATAAATACAATGTAAAAGCTCAAGTAACCTCTCCGGACAGAGCTTGTTCATCTTCAGTCTTCTAATATATTTCAAGAATTTTTTCTGCTTCTTGATTGAATGTTTTACATCCTTACTTGAAAGGGAGCAGAAGTAGGGGTCATCCTGGAGGAACAACAAACCAGCCAAAAATCGAGGCACTAAATCTAACCAGCTATAAAGTTTTTTCTTCTTGGATAGAAAAGACAGGTACTTGGTTAGACTTTTATCCTTGATCTCTTCTGGCAGCATAAGGTGAAGCGCACCCAAGAAATTCTGAATTATGAAATCAGAGAATGTGCTCCCAAATTCCTCTTCTCCACTATCTGAATGTCTGGGGAATGCAAATGGCAGGAAAAATCCGTATTTCAGAGCAAACTCTTTAACTTTCTTAGAAGGAAGAAGATCACTTTTCATGGCACTTTGGTGCTTTTCTCCAAGATACCAGGCTATACGGGCTAGTGTAGCAAGACTCTCTTGATTTTGCATGGCTGTAACATCTGTTTGCATATGTATTATCTTTTGCTGAACAAATTTCAGGAAGATTCTAGAAAGAGTTGAAGGAAGGTTTTGGTCTCCCCTTTCAAGAACTGTCTCACAGAGAAAACAAACAAATCTACACATAACAGGGCTGTAACAATGACTGAACAAGTACCCAGAGTCTTTGATCAATTTCAGTGCATTATCACAGTAGGGTAATCCTTCAAAGTATTTGGTTATGTACAGTTCTCTCTGCTGAGGGGAAAATCCTACTATTTCAATAGTCTTATCCACTTTGGACACATACTGGTACACCTTGTCTTTTGGTCTTGCTGTAAGTAATAAAGTACAACCCTTCAGTATCTTTTTTTGGATGAGTCCTGAAAGCAGCTCCTTTACACTGCACAAGTCTTTTTCAGGCTGGCTGGCTGAGCAATAAGGAAAATTCTCATGAACATGCAACCCTTCAAAACCATCAAAAATCAGAAGGACTTTAGCAGGATTTTGCAATATATACTCAAAGATCTCTTTGCTACTCTCTTGAGGTTTTACAAAAAATTCAAGCAGCAGATCCTTCAGGCTGTATTTCTTCTCAGGCAAGCTTATTTGTTTGTAGTCAAACCAAAAAACAAATTCAAACTGAGAAAACTCTCCATTGGACCAGTCTTGGCAGATCTTCTGAACAAGCATGCTTTTGCCCATTCCAACTGAGAAAACTCTCCATTGGACCAGTCTTGGCAGATCTTCTGAACAAGCATGCTTTTGCCTATTCCTGCTTTTCCCAGCACCAAAATCACTTTAGTCTCTATGTGTTTACCTTCTGGGATTTGAAATATTTGGTTTCTTTTAAGGGCTGTCTCTTCCTTTCCTTGCAGACTGCAGGTTACCAGTTCCTTTTCCATTGCTTTTGTGCTATTCTTCCCAGTCTTGGTTTCAGGTTGGCTTTGAACAAGTGTTCCACCAATAAACAGGTGATCAAGAGTTACTTCACGCTCCATGGCCACATATTTGCACATATCTCTGAAATAATCCACGAGTGATGCACAGAAAGCTTCCACTGGCTCTAGAGAAACAAAAAGGACACACAGACTGAAGAAACCAATCCACAAATTCCAACACTTCATCACAGACTCTTACAGAATCACAGAATCTTAGGGTTTGGAAGGGACCTCAAAAGATCATCTAGTCCAACCCCCCTGCCAGAGCAGGATCACCTAGAGCACATCACACAGGAACATATCCTGGTGAGTTTTGAATGTCTCCAGCAAAGGAGACTCCACAACCTCTCTGGGCAACCTGTCCCAGTGCTCTGTCACTCTCACAAAAGTCTTTTTTGATATTTACATGGAACCTCCTATGCTCCAGGCATGGAGCTCATGGCAGTTTAAATTTTTTTTTTTTAATTACATAATTTAAATACGGTCAAAATACATCCGTTCCCATCAAGCATGTAGGTCTGGATTTGTCCCAAGCAACTGTAGGTACTTAAGTTAGGAGTGCAGGCACAAAAGACACTTTTAGACCTATGAACTGAATAATTTTGGAGGTATCTATACATATGATAAAACCAGGTAAGTATAGTGACCTTATTAGTAGGTGCTACAGCCAGATACCTAAAGCTGGACAAGTCTAACATCTTAAAAACAGGAATTATGGTTAGACACTTGGAACAGCTTCGCCAGTTGTTGAAGGACAATTTCTAACAAGTAGCTTTTCTTTATGGAGGGAAACACTGAAAAATTAGCCAAAAAAATACTGGAAGCTTTCATTCAAGAGTTCTAAACTCACTTGGTCTTTTGAAAGGTTCTTTGTAAGGAATGATGGTAACTGGGATCTCTTTGAACAGTTCTGAACCTGAAGAAACAAAATAATACACTTGAGGAAGACAAGTAGATAGTCACTGACTCAGCTTTACTAATTTTAACAATAAGACTAATACAAATTTAAAGTTTTTTGCAATATATATTATGTGCCATCCAGAAAAAGAGATCTGTTGTTTATTTTCTGAGAGAAAGGAAACAAGTCCTCACACAAGTACAATTCGGCTGATGTGAACGGTTGCAGGCAGTATGACACCAAACTAGATGACAGCTGTTCCACAGCTGAATGAAGCAGAAGACTCAGCACAACAAGGTGACATCCACTGATTTGTCAGTGTTTTGCATAAATTCACATTCACATGGACTTCTTTGTCATCAAAAGCAAGAGCTTCCTTCTGTTATTCTACACCTTGTAACCAAGCGTTAAGGATTCAACTCACAGAGATGTGACTATTGGTAACAGAATTTACCCATTACTCTTCCTGACAAAGTACCGTCACTGTCCAATTTTCTTTCTTTTTGCTTCTTTTTATCTTTTTTTTTTTTTCTTCCAAACTACTGCAGACTTTTACACTTGGTCAGATGAGTCTGCCATACACAAGGAAACTGGAATTTTTTTCAGAGAATGCATATTTCCTACAGACTGGTAATGACCAAATATCACTTTTGATAAAACTTTTGGTAGGAAAAACTTTGCAAGATGCTGGACAGAATTTAAATGGACAGAGACTGTAACAAACCCAACCTCATCAATAGTCTCGTGGTAACCACACTCAGCAGTGATGTGGAAAAAACTCCAATGGGTTAATCTCCCATTTCTACAAGTGTATTGATTACCATTATATTTGGCTCATCTTGATGTATAATGTGGTTAAAAAAATATAAATCTTAAAAATTTCAGTAATCTGGAAACCAATTCCTACTCTGCATGCCAGCAACAGATGAAATGGTTAGAGTTCAGAGTTGCTTCTAGTAGGGAAGCACTCACAGACTTGTAACAAGCAAGTCCTTTTTCCAGTGGAATACATTTGATATAGAGATAGTTTTCCTTCTTGTAGAATAAAAATCAACTTCAAATATTAAATAAAAAGGGGACATGCCTATTTCAGAAAGGTGCCTGGTTTTTAGATTACTATTTATTTTAGTAAATAAAACCAAGAAAAGCTGCAATGACACATTTAGATGTGAACCAGCACCGGTCAAATCAATCAGCTGTTAAGAACTTTTCAAAAAGGAAAAGGGACTGCCTTGTAGGCTCATATGCTGTTTTTTTTTTCTGCTGTATTTGGAATTTAGGCTTACAACATACTCATATATTTTGTGCTGCTGTAAATCTGTTGGAATTATTAATCTTGTATATTCACATAAACAGTACATATAATTTACAAATACTTCTCCAAACCTAGGGGTACTTGCGTATTAATCCCAGTTTTGGGTGGTGTTTGCCGCCAGAGGGCAACAACACACTTGTACTAAACTGCAAGCAGTTAGCACCAGGGAGCAGAGATCAGAAACTAAATAAACCCTGAAATCAAGCTCCCTGTTCTAAGAGCTCTCTGACAGCTACAGGAAAAGTGTCTGAGGAAAGTTTGCTACCACAGGTGGGATTGTTACACCGTGACCAAGGCTCTTGATTTCTTTACAACCCTTTCTGTATATTAGGCTTCTGTATTGTTTAGTTAAACAAAGTATTAACAGTTTTGATTTTGGGGCTTCTATGTGAGATGACTGCAGCCTGGCTTCCAGGTCTGAGGCTTTGGGGTGCTCAGGCCATACTGGTACCAGCCCAACTTCCACTTCTCATGGTGATTCAAGCACATGAAGCTTTTGTATTTATTTAACTAAACAAGTTGTCTTATTCCAGGAACTGGAACTCATAGCAAACACAGTGGCTTGCTGCTAAGATATCTTTGAGACTGTAGCTCTAAAACCCTTTATCTGCTCTGTATTTTGGAATAGACTGGGCAGCCAATGATCAATACAAAGAGGGAAATGCCATTAATTTTTATTTTCCTCATGAATGTGAATATGAGTAAAGCCTGGAGGGGAGAATTGGCTTTGGGTAGAAGGAATATACTCCCTCTTCCAAACAAAAGTCCTGCATATATAAAATTAATTTTCTACTTACTACATAAATTAACTGGAAAACTTGGATATATCAATGTTTCTGTGGAAGAAGTCAGCACTGGCAAGAAACAAATTATAGTTTTCAGACTATTGTAGCTATTGGTAACTGAGGGAACTTAGTACATTGTTGACAGCACTGATTTTCCAGTACTTTATGCCTATTTCTGAGGATAAAATGTTATTGCTCTTACCTGGATATATTATAACATCAGAATAGCCATTTCCAAGAACCAAGTTAAATATCTGCTGAGGAGGATCTGCAAATCCTGTATTCTCTTGGCTTCCTTTCACACCGACAGGTAGACACTCTGGACTCAAGGGTGCTAAAGGTCATGAAATGAGTGCAGAATAGTTATTCTTCAATTTTTAAAGGCTCCTGGTTTCTAAAAGTTTCTAAGGAAAAAAAAAAGCTTCCTAAAAGCTACTTAAAACTTTCTAGCAGCTTCTGAACAACTATTCTCAGGGAACAGTTTGTGAACCAGAATTCACAGGATCACATGAGGTCCATAGAATCCATGAAACAAACTCTTTAAAGGTATGATGAATGTGAAACACATTCTCCAGCTTTTAGTGCCCACTGGTTTTTGATAGTCTAAAGAGAAATTCTATTAACTGAAGAAGTCCTTAAGGCTAAGCTTGTAAATGTATGGGCCAGAGATCCAGAAGAAAAAACATGTAAATATGATGTCTCTGAATTTTACTTTTTTCCTTTGCACTACACCTTTCCCATATAATTGCACATCATGCAGCTGGTAGAAGCAGCTAGCAAGCATCCTTCTAAGCCCAACTGGAAAATTTTTTTGATGATGCAGTGCTTGCAATTTAATCAGCCATAGCTCTGAGTGTGACCGAACTTCTGCTACTTTGTGCTGTTTCAGCTAGCATCAGATACTTCAAGACTTGTAACTTATCCACTGCTTTTTGGTTCATTTCCAGTATAGATTTAACAGTGAAAGCTGTGAATTGTGTCTTTGTCATTAGCACTGCCAGCACACCACAAGCACCTTCTGCTACACAACATGATCATGGCAAGGAGGCTACACAGCCTACCACTTGGATTAGTACTCAGTTTTTGTAAACAAACTTCCAACCTAGATTTTGCTTTACTAGTGCAAATATCATTATTCTGCAGTCATTTACAAACCTCTGGATGAGGAAGAAATTGGAACTAATCCAAAGTTTATTAACAAAAGTTTTGTAATTTCCTGTGCTTAAGTAATTATTTAGGGTAGCATATAGTAAAGAATTCTGTTATCTTATTTATGAATATGCATTTCACCAGTTAAATGAAAAAACTCATTCTTTTTCATTAAGGGCAATGCACTCCTAATTTCCTATGAATATTTTTAATTATTCCAGTGAGTGCCACGATTTTAAGCCCTTGATTGAAACAATTGCAATACTTGTTTTCCCTCACCATGGTTCATAGCCAATAATAAGAGAGTTTTCCTTCCCCTTGTATAAATCAAGCTGTGCACAGGTGCAGACTTAGAGCTGTACTGTACCTACCAGGGATTATGGAACTCCTCTCCAACTCGTTGGTAGCAGGAAGAGAAAAGGACATGTGCTGGTTGGATAGTGAGGCAGAGGTAGCTGGATGGCTGCTGAGAGGCATAGCTAAGAAACTGCCATTTCCTGCAGACACTGCAGGGGCTTCCACTTGAAAAAAAGTCAAACAAAAGGAGAAAGTTAATTCATTGCTGGAAGCTAAGGAGGGCAAAGAAGAGGCTGCAATATAGAGATATATTTCTTAATCAGAAGCTGATGAGCCATTTCTTTGTTGAAAGCTCTCCTTGTTAATATGTCATACACATAGGCTTTAAAAAGTGCCAAATCTATAAAGGAATTTAAGCAGAGAGAAGGTTATCTACCTTTAAAAGGTATGAACTGCCAGGAACCTGATCCGTGTCTGAGTAACTACAACCAGCAGTTCAGTCAGAACTCTGATTAACCATCCAGATCCAACAAATGTATTTTTTTTTCACAGCTAATTCTGTTCAAACCCACCCCCAGAAGTCAGCATGGTTGTTGAAAACCAGCTGGGGTCACAGTCCCAGTGTACGTGTGCTCTATGACTTTCATCCAGACTATGCCAGTTCCTTAGCAATTGCTGGCCTGAATTTTTCTGAGGTGCAGTCCCATGACCTAAGCCCTCTGTATGGCTCTCTAGGATGTACACTGGCTTTGGCTGTCCACCCTGACACATACTTTGCCCAAGGGTTTTGATACAGTCAGAGTTCCCATTAGGAGGCTTGGAAAGTGTGCTAGCATGCTCTAATGTGCATGTGACTTCAAAACACAGTATAATATATTCATCAAAAGGTGATTCTCTCACAAGGATTTTGGAAGAGTCTTTTGCTGGTTTAGCTATGCCTGAGACACCCATGTAGGCTACATACAGCTGGGTAAGAACTTTAGCACCAGTTTACACCTAGGGAACAAGTTATAGCCTGCCTGCTGGCCACAGGTAATGCCCTGTAGATGGTCTAACCCTGTGTGACACCTTGAGATTTCCCTTTCTCCCATTCTTATTTTGGTTTAAAGCACTGTATAGCATGAGCTGGGCCAAGAAGCTGTCTCTTCATAGTTATTTCACTAGGATGTTTCAATGGATTTTGGAAGGTGTCACACTTAGAACAAAGAGGATCAAACCCAGGAAATGCCAGACTATGGCCTGAGTAACATTACTCATTATAATTATAAGATGTATGTGATAAAGAGAAGAAAATTTGGCACCGGCCTAATTCTCCACTGTTTTGTTTTCTTCTCTTAGATTAATTTAGAAAAGTTCAGCTGTTCCTCTGCTGACACTAAGGAAGTAATTTTCCTGTCACCCAGCAGCAACATCTGCTTTTGAAGCATAAAGATCCAACTGTTTCCAGGCTACAATGTAGGTGTCCCTAAGATGCACAGTTTGATAGCTACTACTGATAAGAGAGCACAGATTTGTTGCATCATGAATCTGTCAGAGATGTATGAAAATGTGATTCTACAGTCATCTCCACTCTGCTGGAAGAAGAAACATGAAAATGCATGGTAATGCTGTATCATCAAATCTATGAAAGCAAACTTTCCCTAGAAGGTAGAGATACAATACCTAACAGAGCACGACACTTTGGAACAGGAGACAATAATAATTTCCTGCTTAGCCTATAACTTACCAGTTTTCCTGTATTTGGGTACTGAAGCATCAGAGCAACTCTCTGAAGAGCTCAAGAAGGCTGAAAAATGAAAAAAAGGTTATCAGTGACAAAAATTGAACCAGTTTGGTAATTTTAAGTTTCCACTGTGGAAAATTAACTTTTTTAAGTAGAAGGATTGTTATGGGTTTCAATTCAGCTATTTTACAACTGTACAAGTCCAATGTATAAAACATGAATGTGGAAAGTCTCATTATTTTACTCTAACCATGAAAGTTCAATTAGGCTGTAGATTTTTTTGTGCCCGTAATCAAATATTTTGGCGGCTGTTCTTGCTATTAAAGAAGGAATTGTCCAGCTAATGTTTTTCTAAGCTGAAACAAAAAAATACACTGAAAACAAAACAAAACACTGTTTTACAGATTTTTAAAAAGGAAGAAATAGAACATGCTTGATTTTATATTATAGGAAAACAAATTCTGTGAATTGTAAAGGTTGGGGGACCTGTTTTCATTTTCAGACCGCAGGAAGAGTGAAGTCAGAGGAAGCACATCTGGGTGTATCAGTGAAAAGCTACGAGAGATGCATCGAGGGGGTATTAAAATCAAAGTGCTGTAAAATGCAAATTTAGCATTCAAACACTGCAGCCTTTCTAACTCTGTTTTTCACTTACTTCGTTTGTGACATTTCTGCATCTCTATGTCAGTAAATTTCTCAGTGTTTTCAGCAGCCATTTCATCCAAAATAAGGCTCCCTGCTAAAAACATGAAATATTGCCACACATCAACCTTTGTTCTCCTAGAAAAATTATAGTAAGAGGTAAAAGCAAGAGGAACATACCAACTGTCACTGAAGATAAAGTATGGTCCAAATAAAAGACAAAAAATAAAATAATGTGATAAAACACATATCCAGATGAATACAATTTAGAAAGCCCACAGAATTCTGAATGCAGACTGTTACCTTGTGTTAGTTTCTGAATTGCAAAAAAACAATCTACTGTCAGAAATTCAGTGGCTAATAAAACAGAAATTCTTCTCAATGCTCTAATGATAAGCAAAGGATAAAACATCACAGCTACATCAGTGTGATCTCAGTACTAATAAAGTTACTTATGTTTGAAAAGGATCAGGTCCTCTAAGAGACAGAAGAAAGAGTCATAAACAGATGTAATATTTTGTATTGTAAGGACTGTGAAATACCCATACCATTCTTCTAAAGGCAAATAATAATATTGTATCTTGTTTTCTTTAAAGCCAATATAAATTTTGCCATTAAGTGACAAGATCCTCAAATTGCAAGCACAGCAGGGAGTAGTAAAAAGCATTTAAAAAGTCATGTGAATTTCTGTAGATAGAACTGTCATAGGGGAAGACTGACCTTTCATAAGTGATTCCAAATTACTTTGCTCAAACACAGAACAGGATATACAGATATTCTATGAATCTATCTAATTCTACAGATTTCCCAATAGCCACATATTAGTGTATATATCTTCTAAAATAGCAAATAGCTGCATTTGTGCCACTATCAAAACAATGATTTTATGCCAAAAGCCAAGCCATTATCTCTGACCAAGCACTGAATGAAGGAATTGTTTTCTACATATGTATTATACCCTTGCTGCATTGATCAGGGTGAGAGTAAAATTTGACATGCTTCCTTGGGCAGCTTTGTGCATCCTGGACAGAAATAAGTGTGTGTGAACTAGATTTGTAGCCACGCCAAGTCTCCTGGGTGGGTCAAGTTTAATATATACTTATGTATATATTAATTGTATATATATTAAATGTATATATATTAAATGTATATATTAAATGTGTATATATATTGTATTATGTATATATATATACTTATGTATCTGTGTTGTGCTCAGAATAAGTCTCATGCTAATTGAGGGCAAGTACTGCAGTAGTCAGTACAGCTGTGTGTACACAATGGCCATAGTGATGTGACAAGCAATGTGGCCATCAATGGCCAGAGAGAAAACTGCCATCTTTGACAAAGACCTGCAAAAATACAGAAAACCCTTGAAGTTTGTCTAGTAAATCCTTGGGGACAGTTCCCAGAGAAAAAGAAGAGGATAGCAGATGTGTAGAAGCTTTACTAGTGTTCAGATTGTGGGGATGAGGTATAGTTAGTCAAAACACTGTCATGTAGGAAATTAATCTACGCCACATAAATCTTACCAAAAATGTCTTCCATGTGCTTCTCTTGCTGATCTTTTAGCACATATTCTGCTAATCCAGCTAGGAAGGAGGAGGAAGAAAAAAAAAACAAAAGAAAAAAGGAACACGGTAATGACACCACACATTTCACATCAAACTCTTGTAAGTTTACTTTCACTAACAGAATTCTGCAGTATAAATGAAATTGAAGAGTTAAATTAAGTTTTTTTCTGATAAATTGTAGTTCAGGAAATGAAAATTAAAAATGAGAAGTTGAGACAGGAAGTATTAAGCAGAAGGAGCCAACGATAGTGAGATTTCCCCTGAATAACCACAAGGTACTATTCATATGTTTCCCCACAGGTTTAGGTACCCTGGCTAGATCTACCGTGCATGAGGGACAGGCAACTTGAGCATAGGCCACTTCTTTAGCCAGAAAATAAAATTTGTAAGAAATAGCTATTGCAAGTGATTGGAAGTGATTTAAGAAGCAAAAAATTGCTTTCATACCTATTCTAGCATAGGCTTCTATGGTGTTGGAACAGACATACAATTCTTCCCCATTTTCATCACTTTCCTTTGCATACAGGAAATCCATATTATTGGACTGCTCACAGTTGCTGTCATCAACTTCAGGATCCAGAACTAAGAAGGAATACACAATGAATACCTTCAGCAAAGAATAAAAATAAACAGATAGCAGGACATGCAGAAAAGGCAGATTGGTTACTTCAGCATAAGGCTTTGGCTCTTCGCTGTATGTTGGCCAAGTAGAAACAGGACTAAACTATCAGTAATTTGTAGTTTCCCAGAAATCAACACTTTCCTTTTGCTAAACATTGAGACTTCATCTTCCCTAGTAAATAAACCAGTTCCAGCATCCATTCTGTGAGAAGTGTGGCCCAGGCTCATTAATAATATTAAACCTTCTTACTCTGTAGCATATAGTGATACCATAAAAATTTCCTGTTTGGTGCTGGGTCCTTGCTAACCCTTGAACTGCAGCTACAAACTGCCTATTGAAGCTGCTAGTTGGCCAAGGCCAAAAACTTGTGAGGGACCATGCTAACATCTTCACAGCAGAGATGTCTAGCTACCAATAACTGCCACCATGTCCTGACAATGTTCAATTTATCTACATCATCTCAGACATTGCTAAAGCTCAAAAGTATTCAAATCAGTGAAACATTTCTGAAGTAATGAGTCAGTCCTTGATTCATAATTCATCCTACTATCAGTCACTGAGCAAGTGAGGCCATGGGAGTGAAGAAACATTCCTGCAGGTGTTATGAACAGTCCAAAATTGAGAGACCAAAGTTTAACCTGGGAAATAATTAATCACAAAGATGATTAGAGATCCTTGTGCCCAGTTGTCCACTGATTTGACCATGTACCTGCTGACATTGGTCACTTATGAGAGCAACAAGGATGTGAGGTGGAACCCTCCAATTTTATCCTCCATGTTTCATACCTATTGGGCCCAGAGTTATAAGACTTCACATCTGGTACACATCTGTTCTTCTCCTTTCATTGCCACTCTCAACCCACAGCCTAGCTCATTTATTTAAATGAGGTCACCTATTGCTCCACAACAGTCAGCAGCACAGATACATTTTCATACTTTTATGTCAGCAAACTCAGGGAGAGCAGAACATCCTACAACCTCTACACAAATTTAGGAGAGGAAAGTTTGAGAGCCAGGGCAACCTCCCAATGTGATTACCTATAGGAACTTATGAGCAAGAACCTATCATCTTTATGCCCCCTCTGTCACAAAAATCATAAAATCAGTGGTCTGTGCCCCAAAAAGCTGTTAAAAGGCAACTGGTAGTGAAAGTCAGCTGTGTTGGTGCCTTAGGATCACAGAAGGAAATTAAATGCTAGTTTGCTGGCAGACTAGCTTCATCACAAACTAGCCTGAAAGTCTCTGCTTTGTAAAGCTTTTGGCTTGAAGCTACAAAAGTGTCAATGACACTTGACCAGTTTAAAATAGGAACATTTGCAAAGAAAATACTTACAGTAATGATATCCAAACTGAAGACATTATCCTCACACCTTGGTGAGTGACATGCATTGTATGTTTTGTTAGACTCACTGAGCAGGAAGCTGTAAATATGTATGTTTAAAAAACATGATGGTTTCTGGGAGGAGTCACTATTTTATACACAAATAGAAAGTTACTATATCGTAAAATCAAGTGTCTGTTGAATTTATTCCAGACACCATGAGAAACTGTCATTAGATGGCTAATATGTGAGAAGTGATGGTAATAACTTACAGCATGATGACTAATCGAGCATTTGTTGGTGTTTTACTAACCTGGAAAGAAGTCCCCTTCCTCATCTCCAGGTGGCTTAGCATCAAGAAAAGTATGCAATAGATCAAGATCACCATGCAGCATAGCAAGATAGCCATTTTCAGGCAAAAAAGCTGAATCCATGATTTGTCTCTTGCTGTCTGAAATCAAATTGCAAAACAGTTAGCTATGACAAATACACAGTTTTTGCCAGCAAAAATGACAAGTCCTGCACTGTGGCTTTCTGTTGACAAGACACTGAGATCTTAAGGCTATGGAACTGATCTTACTTACCAAATCTTTCACTGATTTATAACCCTGAGTTATTTAAGCTTATAGATGCAAACACAGTTTACAATGAGATTTATCCATCTTTTACTCCAATGAGAGGAGTGGTATAATGCAGTATGACCACCTGGAACAAAAGTGTCAAGTATTGAATCAGTCACAACTCCTTTTTATCTGGATATAAATGATGCAAGCACAGATACTGGGGAAATGAGAAGACTGAAGGGAAGATAATGGAAGAAGAATCCCATGTTTTACTGTCAGCATAATTTTTTCACAGGGGAAGCAGATTCTGGCTGGGATACTACACTCAATTCCTAAGCCCTGGAGGTGGCAACTAGGAGACATCCCCTCAGCACAACAAGGAATAGTGAAAGGCAGAACACTTATATAATTCTTTCCCAAACTATATGGTTGATTGTGTACAAAATGGCATTATCACCTTGGAGATTAGTTTCTGGTAACAGGGCACTTACTGACACTTTGGAATCTATCAATTATTTTGTAATCAGCCTCCCTTCCCCCTCAGAACTTAAGCACATATCTACTAATGAGTTGGGAATTGCTACAGCTTTTCAGGCAGAGTGCCATAGAGTATCCAGACAAATCTGACAGAGCTAAGGTGGTCCTTGCTCCAGTCACCCATGTTTATGTGAGAACTGCTTAGACTACTGCAGCTATATTTCTTGATAAAATTAATCTCTTCCTCCACCTACTTTTAAATCCTATTTCCTTCCAGTTATTGCAGCAGGCACAAGAATAAGCTCAAACATTCCTCCTGGATATTTCACAGGTAGGGGAATAACACTGCTTGTTGTTTATTCATCATCTTAACACACTATTTAAAAACCAGATATTGGCTCCTCAGTGTTTACAGATCACTGATACTAATGCCACCCAGGCTAGTGATCCAAGTAATTTATTCCACCAGAATATTGAGATGCCAGCATAAAATGAATTACCAGCAAAATTTCTAGACCATATTCTCCTAAATAGGTGTCTGCACACCACAACCATAAGTTTCAGCTGGGCATCAAGCACTATATTTTGCAATGAAGAAGAGCTATAATATGGCTGTCAAATATTCTGCCTTTAGCAGAATGCCACTGATGACCCTAGCTGTATGTCTACTTTCCTGAGGTGTGCAAATGTGGAGCAACCTGCTCTACCATTCAGTCTACCTGCAACATGAAAAAAGATAAATACAAGTAATACTGCAGCTCTGATGAAAGAAGGCAGAGCAGACCTGCTCATACTACCATGCGCCATGTTGTGATGAACTAATCTTCATTCCTCTTACCCCTTCATGGGGTTGTCCCTCTGAACAGTTTGGAAAGGGACCTCACTATGTTCCACTGCAGCAGACACCAGAATCCAGACCTACAACTCAGAAGAGCAGTAAGGTCACACAAGTAGGAATAACGTACACTCAGTTAGTTCTCCTTTTTCATGTTGTGTGGCCTTGTTATATTACTAAGAAAATTTGGTATTATTGCCTGATGCACTACAAATGGAAAGCAGAAGTTGATGAACCTTCATGAGAAGAAAGAACAAGATTATAAACATACTAGATGAAATTTTCCGCTTGTTGCAACATTTTACTTTGCCCCTTCCTTTGTTGAATTAATATAAAATCTAAACAGAGTCGGGCCTTTTGGAATGCCAGGTTGCCAGACTTTGTGAATAACACTATTAAAAAATAACATTATTATAGAATAAAGTACGTTGGCAAAGAAAGCCAATAGGATGCTGGGCTGCATCAACAAGGGCAGCACCAGCAGAGATCAAGAAACCATCATCCCACTCTACTTGGTGCTTGTTAGATCACACCTGATGTATTGTGTTCAGTTTTGGTCCCTGCTCTACAAAAAGGATTGGACAAGCTGGAGAGAGTCCAGAGAAGGGCCACAAGGATGATCAGAGGACTGCCATGAGGAGAAGCTGAGACAACTGGGTTTGCTCAGCCTTGAGAAAAGAAGGCTTCAGGAAGACCTTATTACCATGTTCCAGTACTTAAAGGGTGGCTACCAAGAAGATGGAGACTCCCTGTTTACAGAGAGTAACATGGAAAAGACAAGGGGTAACGGGCACAAGTTGCTCCTGGGGAGATTCCAATTGGACACAAGAGCTCCATTTTTCAACATGAGGACAGTCAAACACTGGAATAGTCTCCCAAGGGAAGTGGTGGATTCCCCCACATTGGAAAGTTTTAAGTCTCACTTGACAGGGTGCTGAGCCATCTCAGATGAACTATAGTGGTACCTGGAAAGGTTGGACCACATGATCCTTGAGGGTCCTTTCAACCTGGCATTCTATGATTAAAGAATTACCTTAGAGTCAATGTAATTTTGGGTTAGAGACAGAGAAGTAATTGGGCAGAAGCTGTAAAGAGAATGCAAGACAGACAAATGCATCAGTCCAAGTTTGGTGATTAGTAAACTGCTTAATTACAGCACACAAAGCAAAGGGCAAGTCCTATGAAAAGAGACTAAGTATAACTACATCTTCATGGAAATACTAAGCTTTAATTATGTCATAGTTACTAGAGCTTTTGTTATTTAAACTTTTCTCTCAATGGAATTTCCCTGGTGATAAATACATAAGTAATGAAAAATATTTTTGGCTACAATGGTCAAGAAGTAAGTAGGAAACCAAGAGTAAGTCTTGCCAATGCCAAGCCCAGCTAGACAGCTGAAATTAGAACCTTAAGTGTTCTATAACACAGGAGCATAGGAGTGAGAGAAACACAGCCTCTACCCTGAGAAGAATGAAGATTGCCACTCTGAAGAATGAAAAACTTGATTACTTGTCTTTTTTGTTTCACTGGTCTGAATGGCCCTCAGCTTACCCTCTTTTTGCTTAATAACTTCAGTTTTGACACAAATTTATACATAGCTGTCTTTATATTAACTACACAGGATTTGGGATGCTGTGATTTCTTTCTGTAGCTGAACCAACATATACTTAAGAGCAGCTGTGCTTTGTTGAATTAAAATCGTGGTGCCACCATGGAAAGCACTCTGTCCAAAGGTGCAGGAAAGAAGAAGTGAGTTTTGGAGAGATGGAAATTTCTGCACCAAGAGAGCCAGAATCAAGTGGAATTACACTTCAGGGACAGCAAGTGTTTTGCTGTGTGTTGTAACTGAAAATGAAACCAGATATTACCAAGCTTGTTTACTACAGCAATTCCTTTCCCAGGGCTTCCCCTTTTTCTCACAGCATCCCAGCAGTCCCACATCTGAGACCAAAGATGAGTAAGCTTTGCAATGCTCAGCATTTTCTCTGTTATTTCATACCTGGTTTCACACTAATAATACAGTCCCTTGGGGGTCCCATATATTTTGCTGCCATTTTGTTTGGGACATTTTCATTTCAGAGGACTAAAAAATGCCATAGTAATTTCTGTGTCAGGGCTGGGAGCACTGAGCCAGCCCTCAGCAGGGAGGCAGACCCTATACTGACCCACAAGACAAAGGACTGAAGCCCCCAGGGCTGCCTCGGCTCTCCTTTGTGACAGGCCTCCAGCACAAAGTGACCAGGCTGGCGAGGGGAAAACAAGATGTCCTTGCAATTGTATTTCCATGCCATTCAGAAAGTTCAGTCCTTTGTTGTTTGTACACTGGTTAAGTCAGACTTCTTTTCTTTAAACCTTGAAATAATACCTGCATCACTATATTTGGTAGACTTGTGCTCCCACTGTATTACCTCTGCAAAGACTCAGTGCCTACCTGCTGCAGCAAGTATTCTACTTGGAATACATTTGTTTTAGCACAGTATTCTTCATTTACAGCATAAAGTTATGATTAATTTCTAAGATTCTCAATAGTTTTGTCAATGCTGTTTTAGAATCCAAGTGACACCATAAGAACAAAAAATGCTGGAAAAGTATTAAAAGAAATAGTGAACATCACCATACCAGGACAAAGAATCCAGTTAAAGAGGGATTAGGAGTTCACTTAAGTCACATACAAGTCTGAAGAGTTAGGTGAAGCATTTTAGATTTCTAGATGTAAGAGAGGTGGTTGAGAGCTATCATTTTACACTAATAATTTTATTTAAGCACGTCTTATATTTGAAAGGATCAACATATGAAAGAATTCAGGCTAATACGTAAAATCAAAAGATATCCAATAGAATGGAGAAGGATTATACAGGCAATAATGTTTTCTTCCCAAAAGTCTGTTGATGTCTGAACTGACAGGTAGTAATGTCTCACATGAGTACAGAGGGTGAGAAAACTGAAAATATATAATTTCAGGAACAGAGGAAACTCTTGCAATTTAATTTTTGTGCCCATTCATGAAGCTGAGGATAATGCATAGCAAAAATTAGTAGTGTCATGCACATCACACGTTTCTTAACCCGAGGATGACATAATGTTACAGCTCCCAGTCTCAGATGAGGGAAAAATAAGAGAGCAGAACTGTTGTGAAGACTGGATGTTAAAAAATTAAACAAAAAGATTGCTGAATAAATGTTATTTTCTTGCAACATCCCAGACTCATTAAGTGCTACACATTCATCTGAGTGAAGCAAGGTGGCAAAAAACCAGGTTATATTAAACTCTAAATTAAGGAGTCCAGTGAAACACTAGTACTTTGAGCTAAAGTCTCAATAGCATCAGCCACAGTTTTAAAGCTTTTTTCTTTTTTTTTAAAAAAAAACCAAACAGCTTTAGAAAGTGTCTCTTCTTCTGCACCCTGCTTATGTAATTTTGCATAACACACACCACAGGGTGGGGATGTGTTTCCTGGCTGTTGTCTCTGACAGTGTTTTGGGGCAACACTCTCTGGGAGGTGGGCAAGCCAGCAGTGAGAAGGAATCAATTCTCCTCCATGCTACAGTCACCTGTCTCCTTTTCCTCTCCTCAAATCCACTACTAACAATTCCTCTGCTCCACAGGTACCAAACAGATTTTCCTTTCTTCTATTCATAAACTGCAAGTAATGGTGCTCAATTTATATTTAGCTTTCAAGTTTTCAGTTTCTATTTCAGATCTATGAAAGGCTTACACATCTGAAAGACAGTTTAAGTTTTCCTGTTGTATTACCAGGTTTTTTAAAAAAAAATATTATATTTACAGTCTTTATCTTGCCGATGGAATGGTGTGTTACTTTCCATGGGCTTTATAGTCTAACACGGAAGAACAACAAAGATGATGCTGGAAAAAAAAGCTGCTCTCTATCCTGTCACATTCTCCTTTATCTCCTTTAGAGATGAATATAAAGAAGTTAGGACAAGTATCAGGTAAAGGAAGTTTCTGCTTTCAATAAACTTAGCTGTATAGTGACTAACACAACACATAAAAAAACATTACTAGTAGAGATAACAAGTTCAGGCAGACTAACAATATACTGTCCTGCAGGTGTCAGAGTTGTGATTTGAGAGCAGAATTCTTTCCATATCCAATACCTCCCAGCGTGTCACAGCTCTCCCATCCCAGAACTACGATGAAATAAAGCAGCACAGAAGACACCTTGCCTATAACTTTTTTTTTGGCAGAAAAAAGTACACTTACACTTAGAGACTCTCTTACAGACAGAATTTCAGCCATCCTAAATGGAAGGCATAGCTCTAAGTTGTCTTTGTAGATCTGTTAAAATAATTTATTAAATGAACTTCAGTTTCAGTTTCGATAGGAGCAGCATTTATACAGAAAGCAGATTTGTTTATAAAGTCTGAAACAACCTACAGCAAGCTTTTGAGCAAGTAACAGGGCTAGCCACCAGACTATATTGCTAAAAATTCTCCAAAACTTCACCTGCATTTAGACTTCCATCCTACTAATATTTTGAGCAATACAAGTCCAGATAATGACACACTGTATTTCACAATATCCACAAAAGGTAAGATAAGATGAATTTACCATGACAAAAGCACTGCATTCAAGAGATGAGAAAAAACTGACCTTAAGAAACTGGAAAGTTCCTCTTCTTCCACTCTGGATACAGTACTAGAAAATGAGAAGCACTGCTATCACTGCTCCAGGCTTATAGAAAGTGACACCAAAAGGAGGAAATGAGCTAGATTAGTCACTGCAAAAGAGTTAAAGGCTCAAGGGAAATTCCAAAAAGAAAAACTGAGGTGAACTTCCCTTCTAGCAATAAGCAGTTACCTTTACCAGTCACTGGTCACTGCTCAGCAGAGCTTGCCCTTGTCACTAGTTTGGAACGGATGGATTTATTTGGTTGGAAACCAAAATCAGACAAAAGCCGGCGGTAACAATTTCTGGTGCTCCCCAGAATTCTTCCTCTCCTTTTTTATTCTAGTTCAATTCTGCCCTAAAGTCATGCTCTTAAACAGTCCTCAGTAAGAATCAAGCAAGCAGCATGCAGCACTCTTACCTTGCAGCTCCACTTGCTGTAACAGAAGTGAAAGTATTTTGTTCACATGTTCACAGGCTCTACCAATACAAAGGAGATCTGGTACCTTGTGCAAGTGCCTCTTGCCATTGGCCCAAACTGCCAAGTTTTTCTATGAAAACTGGCTTATTCATGGTGTGCAGGGTTTGCTTGTAGCAGCACCTAACAGAACATTCATTCATCTAATCAGCACTTATCCTGCTGGCATTGCCTTCCCTGGTGTAAGACAAACAACCTTTTGAAAACCACCTTCATCCATGAGTGTTCTTATCATGATGCCTACAGCTGCTTCTGTGTGGCTCTTCAAGATTAGTTGCGTATTTTTTTTCATGCACAGACCTATGAAAATGAGAAATTACTTATGAAAGAGAATATATATTCAAGGGAGAAAGTATTTTTTGTAGTATTATGCCATTGGCTATAGCTTATAACAAAAGCCCCATTGGAGGCTGAAGGGCAAAGGAAGGAATAGAGATTTGATGAAGTCAACAATATCCATGACTTGCTGCTTCAGTAAGGCAAGATTTCAATCAGCTGCTCAGTAACAATTGGCTTATGCACAAGACAAAAGTTCCTGTAATAAGCAAAGCAGCTGCCGACCTGTGTCAATCTTTCCCTTTGCAGAGAAGATCCATTTCCACCACATTCCATAAGCACATGCTCACTAAGACAAGATAAAGCTGTTTTCTTCCTGGGAGTGACTGATCATTTCCCAGTATTCACAGAGGTACAGTGCCCAGCCTGTGATGCAGAGCACCAGCATCTTTAGGTTCTCTGACCAGGCAGGCAGCTGTGTTATTGGAATTCCTCTACACACCTTAGAAGAAACACAACACCTCAGTATAACAGCATTCAGAGCAGAAAATAATAAAAGGCTGCTCAAATACAGATTTGATATTTTAATGCTCTGTTTTGATAGGAGACAATGATGCAATCTCTGCATGAGAAATCTCTAAAAATGTAAGAGGGTTGTTTGTAAGCCCTACACAAATGTGCAGCACAACCTCACAGGTATAAGCTCCTTTACAAGCCCTGTGGGCAGATTTCTTTACCAGCTTCAGAGGCTGTACTCTCATAAGGTGACCTGTGTCTATCTATATATCAAGAACAAATGTTTGGGGAACAAAAGAGTTCAGGTGTTGTGATTCCAATTCATAACTGCAGCAAAGACTGGCTGTCTGCTTTTCACACAACACCCATGGCTGCTAAGAAACAGCAGAAGGGAATTGTCAGAGTACTAGTTCATCTGGTGGACTAGTCAAAGAAAATCTAAGAGACTGAGAGCAAAACAGACTGGAAAACAAGAGGCTATGAGACAGCAGAGAACTGCCTAAGCTTCTCAGGTGACCTGACCATCAACTTCTTTGTTTCAATGCATGCAGATATGCTGCACTATTGCAAAGGGAGGAAAGAGAACAAACTGACTGGTGATGGAAGCACTGCAAAACAGCTGTCAATAGTGCACTTTGCAAGAGTCAAAAAGTCAGGATTATTTCTTTTTGCCCAGAAATTGTAAAGATCTCATTTGTGGCAGAAGAAATAGTTACAAAACTATTAAGTAGTGAGAAACACCCTGATATCAGTCTGTTCCTGACCCGAGTTTTCTTTGCAAGGCTAATTCAGAGTGAAACAATTGTTGAACATAAGGCTGAAAAATTAACAAAATTAAAAAAGAAAGTAAGAAAATAATTTTCCTCAAAGGAAGCTGAAGTCTCAAATAGAATTTGAGTAATTTCCTGGTGGATTAATGTCTTTGGAAGTATTTTTTTTAAAGACCATCTCTACTACAATATCAGAAGTTCCTTCCTTCAGTTTTACAGGATTACTCCAATATCCTACTAAATATTCTTTTACTCTCCCTTTACAGTTGTTTGGTTTTGTAAAAGTAATTCTGATTGCTGTAATCTAAGCTGGAATTCTGTCATTTTACATAGAATGGACAATGTCAGGATTGTCACAGAGCAACCCCTGTTCTCCAACATATACATTAACCATTAAGTGGGTCAGACTAAAAAGTGAGTTTACTGCCTCAGAATTACAAGGTGCCTACATTTTCTCTCTCCTATTGCCCACTGAAAATCTCAAGACTCCTGAATCAAAAAATAAATCATTAAGTACTTCCCCTCCTTAAATCTGCAGTACTCTGTTGTAGACAGGGCAATTTGTTTCTTATACACAGCTGGAATTTAAAGTGGAGAGCATTCCTCCCATAGATGATTGAAAAAGATATTTCCCTATGCAAGTTACCAGCACATGCCATGAACAAATGCCAGTCAGACTATCAATGGTTGGCATGTGAGTTGAAAAAACCTGACCTTATCATGGCTTCACTAATCTACTTGGCATTTCTGTTTCTGCAAAAGGTGTCAGAGAACAGGTTTTATTATGACCTGGCTATGAGAATGGGTATCTATTAGCTACCCTGAACAAGATCTCTTTTTAGCTGCTTTTGCATCACATTCTGCCCTTTCCTCTTACCCACTTGCACTCCACAGCTGTACTTTGCACTATGCCACAATGCAATCTCAAAATGCAATAAACAAAAGTAAATCTTTAACGAAGCAAAAAAAGAAAACAAAAAAGCTGATTTACCAGAAATGTAATTGCTTCCTGTTGGCCCATTGTCTGTAATGTTTTGAGGCTTACTGCCACTGCCACAGACGTTTAAACAACAGAAGGGAACCAAAGTGTTCAAGCACATGTCCCATTTTTCCACAAATGTCAGAGATATTTTCCTTGCAAGGTCCTCTTTATCTTTTTCATTGAGCAAGGCTTGATGGTACTCCTTGGAGATCACATCTTCTTTCAGCATGAGGTTAAGCAATTTGTGGTCATCAGAAGATGTAGCAGTTGAAAGAATCTTCCTTACTCTGGGCAGTATCTCCTTAAAGAGATTCATACCTGCACCTGAAAATGTTTGGAGGAGGTTTGAGCACAATCTGAACTGTTTCAATAAAATAAATTTTAAAAAATCCACTCAGTCAGCATCAAAAAGATGAAGTGAAAAAAAAAAAAAGAGATTTTGCCCTGCAATAACAAGGGTATTTCCTCATTTGTTTGAGCCTTTAAATAACATTTTCAACGACAAATAACTTGTTGATGAAATGACACAACAGCACAATTCTTCTAAGCATCCATCAGCCACATTTTTTCAATCAGCAATATTGTCACCTGAAAAAATATTTTTAAAAACTATTTACCCCAGTGAAGAAGAACTGCTATATCTGGATCTTGTCTCCTGGCCAAGGTGGAGCATGGGACCAGCAAGGTCATTTCTGAATTAAACCAGCCCAAAACAAATCCTCTGCAAGACAGATAGATTTAAAACTTGGGGAATTCAATGTAAGATTCGAGATCAGGTTGTGAATAAATTCTGCCTTCATGAAAGTCAAATGGGTTAGAACTAGGATAAAAACCCTGGGGTAAAAAAATGATCCCAAATCTGGCTCTGGCTTCTGTTATATCTGAAGTTATTTGGAAGAAAAATAACTAGGAAACAAGCTGGGTATGACTTCCATATATTCTCATTTAAAGTAAACATACTCATATTCCAGGGGCAGATACAAGTTAAATTCCTTAAACAAAAGAGTTTTCAAGACCCCAGTTTAAATAAGTATCAACTCTTCCATATCACAAAACACAATATTAAAATAAAACTCCAAATCTACTACAACCTGAGCTGTCAATTCAGCTCAAAACTATTAAGGAGTCTCATTTAATATTGCTTTCTGAAGTAATTTCTGTTGTAAAGCCCAAGACTAGGCAATGTCTAATTAGGACACTTCAGAGATTCCTCAATACAGTCAGTAGTGTTTTATCTTTCTCATACGAACATTTTCTAACAGGGAAAAAAACAAAGACAGGTGCCTTCAAACTGGATAACATTGAAAATAATTTTTAAAATTAAATTTTAAAATTAAAAGAGCAGGGTAAGAGCAAATAGAAAGGAATACAGTAAGTTAGATCAGTAAAATGTATATCTGCATTTTTTTCTTGTTAAGAGCCCAAATGTTATCCACCAGTCTTGTGTATTGTGACTGCAGAACACAGATTAAATCTACAAAGCCAGCATCAAAAGGGCAAATATCATCACTGACTAGAACATGAATGTGTTTAACATAAGCACCTCTGAGCCAAATATGAACATCAGCCATGTTGCAAGCAAAAATAAGGTATATAATTTGTAAACTGGGTTAACTAGATTCTATTAGCACAGTTCTTACTCATAGTAGCTACATCTGCTAACAATTTGTTAAAAGTGCAAAGTAAACTACCAATTTTGCTGAGATATAAAAAATACTGTACATGACACTAATTTTTGCATCTCTATAACTTTAAAGGAAATGTTTCATTTCCAGATCTTCAATCACAAAAATATGTTTTATGAGGCAGGCACAAATACATTAAAATGAATATCTAAAATTAAACAGATTCTATCCAGTGCTTCCTAATGCTGATTTATTTTCCTTATGCCTTTTAAAACTTTCTACTTAAATGATCTGTACAATGCTTTGCAGTGGCTTGGGTTTAGGCATTATTGCTTCTTTGGGGAAGAGTACTTCAGTATTCTAAAACAGAAGCAACATTACAAGGATGGCAGTAGCTATATAAACAATTCAGTTTACTTATAGATTTTTCTACTTTGTTTTAGATACCTGATTGCTGTAGCAGAACCTACAGTCCTGAAGTAAACAGTGGGGCAAAATTTCTAGGGCTGTCTGTCTGCTTACAGATAGGATCTTTAAAATGCAGTCTGCTATGTGGCTGCCTAAACAAGCCCGTAGACTGAGTATGGGATAAGTATTCAAACATAATCTAAATATCTTTCTCTTTATTTGCTACTAGGTTTACAGCCTTCAATATTGCCATGACTTCTTTTCACCAGACACATTGGAAGGTGGAGCAACAATTCAAACTAGTAAAAAACAATGCACTGAGAGGAACTTGCTAAGTCTTTATAAAACTTTTAAGTAGGGCCTGCAAATTCTGGTTAAGATCCCATATATCTTTGTAGGATAACAATACTGCTTTTTCTGAACATTCATGTGTATGTTCAATATCAGGAAGTCCACTGGAAAACCAAGCTATCTCATTATCCAATAGCATTATATTATGATTATATATACAACATTTATATCCAAAATCATTTAACTTCAGGTGCAGGTAGGTAACAAGTTTTACTGTAATGATACAACTGTGAAAAGCAGATTCATTTATTTCACTTATGGAAAAGTAAATCACTTGGATCTTGTCTGCATACTCTTGTCTCGTTCAGAATTTGTCTTTTAAATGTATTTTTCTCTGAAGTTGCTACCTGCATTGATTTAAAACAGAAGAGACAATACTAGTTTTGTTGAATCGTGTAGGAATAAGCTCCAACTCATTTAGAGTGGCACTGATTCTCAGGTACTACATCAAAAGGGCTGTTTCCCTTGGTTTTATCAACATAAAAACTGAACTGAGTAAGATACTTCCACTTGTAGTTTACCGTCTTGTGGAGCAGAACACATGCTGAAGGCAGCTAGGGGTTTTCCTTGCAGAAAGTTAGGAACTGCTTGCTACCACAGCAAAGCTGAATGAGTTTACCACAGTTCGAGGAAGAGAGACAGTCTCAATCTCAACTTCTCTCGCAAATGATGTGCTCTTGAATGGGCTCAACAGATCTTTAAAAAGGAAAAAAAAAAAAAAAAAAAGTACTGTCTACATTATTTGGCCCAGGATGCTTGCAGAAGCCTTTCTCAGCATCATCACTTACATTCAAGGCCCCTCTAGGCAGAAGAATTCTCCTAATAATTCCCCTTTTTGACATAAGGTGGAGAGTTCAGGCTGCAAAAGAAGCTGTGTATTAAAAGAACAAACTCAATTTAAACTGTAATCCTCAGCCAGTTTCTGCAACTCCTTGATCTGCTGCACCTTAGCTCTGCAAAACCCAGATACAGAAAGCTCAGTGCTGCAGGGCATAAGTGTGTTTGACTATGAGGGGATATAATAAGGTGGAAATGGTAGATTTCGTTTTGTGGGCAAATAACTCCCCTCCATAGGATAGCTCCCTCCAGAAGCAAACAAGCAAGGGAATAAGCACCTGTGATTCACCATCATGATTGCCACTTAAGCATGAGAAAAACAGATTTTCTGCGTGTTTTATACCTTAAGCAATTTCAACCTGCAAATGTGCCCAGGCAAATTTCACCAAGAATAGAAGATTCTAGGCTTTTCAACCCAAATGCAGTATTGTTTCTTCTGTTATGTCTAGATTTGAGACAGATCAAAAGGGGGACTGCCTTTGCATAGGTGTTAAAACACAAAGGTTTCAAACTGATTACTGTTTTACGCTTCCCACACGTTTTAAGGATTCCTGATGAGTTTTCCAAAAAGATCTGCAAAATTGTCATCAGGGATAAAGTTTGATTCCTATGCATGTCCCCAGCTTTTGCTAGGTTATAGGCAAACCTGCCAAGCAAAAATGTGCTAGAAGTACTTTAAAGGTCTTTGACCTCAAAACCAATTATCTTGTAAGCTAAGGCAAAAATAAGGGAATAATTATTCTACAGTGGTTTAAGCTTTGAAAATTGTATTCAAGTTGTAGTGCTGATATAGTCCTAATTCACAATTTTGAGGAAATAATTTGATGTTGTTTCTATTTCTGCTTTTCTTTTTGCATTTGTATAAATAAAAAAAAATAAATAAAAATTTCTTATTATCTTGACAGGCTCACCTGCTAGGGCTCATGACATACCCAAATGCCAGGTACTGCAGTATGCAACCTGGCTTACACTGGTACATTTTCAGCTGCTTCATTACCTCTAGCAAAAACAGTGAAAGGAATTTCTGGGATTTCACTAAGATTATTTGGAATCCAAAATTAGCTGTATACTTTGGGCAGCATCATATTTACTTGGAAGTGATACTTCCCCTCAATGCAGAGAAATCAAAAGCACAAGTTCTCCTTTTAAACTAACTTTCCTCTTTAAAATGTAACATAGCACAAACAATGTGTGTGAAAAAGAGAACTAAGCCAGCCCATATATTTTCACTATTTGTTACTTCTTATGTTGCTATTGTTTAGCACCTTCTATAGATAAGAGATGCCTTTTCCTTTGGACTTTTAGAGGAAGACTACCATGATGATCCTTAAAAACAGATACAGCTGCTATGAAACACCTCTCTTATCTACATAAGCTGTGTGTCAGTTTAAGAGATTCCTTAGAACAGGAAGAGAAGTTGTGCAGTTGAATACATACATTAATCTGTGAAGCAGAGCAGTGGAATGCTAATGCCTATATGTTATACAGGCTTGAATTATTGCAATCAGAATGTAAGGAAATCTGTTATATAGACTTCCCAGCCTACGAAGAATTGTTCAACCAGCACTACGTCAAAGCTATTCAGCCTGGATAGAAGGAATCCCAAGCAAAAATTCTGGCACTGAATCCAGTTTATGGCCAGAGAGGCCAAAGACCCCAGCTGACTGGAAAACCAGAGCAAACAGTTCAGACAAAATTAAAGGAATTTCCAAGGAAGTACAGTTCATTCATAATAGAGTATCTACTAAAATAAATAGGGGCTTTGCAAGCTGTGTCCACCAGCATTAGAGAATGATGCTTTCAGTGACTACCTAATTACCAGCCTATTCCCCAACTTTGTTACATTTTGCAAAGCTAGAGTGCTGGGATTTACTTGGGCTCTTAGGATGGAGACCAAAGGTGTGTCTTTTGTTATGCAAACACATTCAAATGGATTTCCTAAGTAATTCTGCCAAGGTTTACAACTCTTAATGTAAAATATTTTATGTCTATTTTGAAAATGGCTTCCTGTAGGAAAGTAAAGGTGTGATGGTATGGAAGATATTTTGAACATAAAAGGTCTGTCTTTTAGGCTGCTGAGATGTCTTTTCCCATAACTTGTTTTCAAAACTGTCTGATATATTATTTTCCCTTCTTCTTCCCCTCAGAAACTAGCTGTGCTTCCATTTATGTGTAGAAGTCCTTCTGCATCCTCCAACACCTACATTTCTGATATCACCTACCATACTACTTCCCAAGCACTTTGATGAGCCTCAGCATGAACCCCGCAGGCAAGACATGGCATAAAGCCCAAGGCAATGCACTACAGTGATGCTGGTCAGAGTGGCAGCTTCCCCACAACAACTTTCTCAAGTGAGGTTAAGAACTCAAAAGCTGGGAATTTCCAACCTAGTAGGAGTGATTACAGCCTCAAATTTTTCTAGCCATTCAGAATCTCACAGAACTTTGGAAAAGCAATCTCAGAAGACCAACAGAAGCAAGGCAGGCTGAAAGACAGACCTGTTTAGATGACTGCTTTGCAAAATCCTGGTAGAGTAACTTCGAAAGGCATTCCTGTGGAAATGACCTTGGTTTCTGCTTTTACTGGGCTGAGATACCCAAGTTTGCTGCCAGTCTGCCATGGAATTCTTCTGCATCTCTAAAATTTTGGAGTTTAGAAACTTGCATCCCTTGCATTTTTAGCTTAGTAACATAAATAATAGCAACATCATAACATCAATTTGCCAGCCTACTTTGTACTGTCATTGTTGTGCCAAGAGGACACAGCTACCACAGACACATGAAGACAAAGACACTAGAGTGTTTTCAGCAGCAAGTATTAAATATTTCCTAAACTATCCGTGTTGGTTGGCCCATATTTAAACCATGAATTCCACCACTTCCTTCCTCACCTGTACACCAGTGATTCCTTACTTGCACTGGCACTAGAGTGATTGTGCCATGGGACATGCTGGAACTTCTCAGTGAAAAAAAAAATCCTGCAACAACTTAAAATTAACAAAATATTGCTGGTTCAGCAAGACTTTCCTAGAGCACTGCTGATTTATAAGCATGTTGTTCTCTTATTACACTAGTTTTACTAGCACAGGGTATTTCATCAGGAAGCCATGGAGTATGAAGCATTTTTCATCAGCAGTTGGCTGCAGCTGCATGCTCTACAAGCACACCATGAGCACCAGGGTCTGCAGCTGCTGCCTGACCTACAGGCTGCCTTTCCTTGGTTTTCAAGAAGTCTGTGAGCATCACAAATGTACAAATCCCTTAACAGTAGTTTTGGGACAGATTGCACAACAGTATTCATCTAAGAGCAACAACAACAAAAAAAAGAATAGAAAATAAATAATATCCTTTCTGTTCCCACCACCAGACTTCATAGAACTAGTCCAGTACATTGGAGCACGTGACAAAAATCCCTGTAATTCCCCTTACACTGAAATAAAATAAAGAATGGCAAACAGAATACAAATGCAAACACAGACTAACAAGGAAAAGGATGTGTGCAAAACCACAGCCTGTCATGAGTTTCAGAATGATTGAGACAAGAAAGCTGGGCAAAAATACACCACCGACAGTTAAAGCAACCATGTATTTTGGGGGCTTCCCTAGAATGTTTCTGATTTCTGTCTTCTAAAACACAAAGCAGACACAAAGGATACTGAAACCCATATCAGGCACAGTAGGTCTACTTTTAGCCACTTGAATAAACCAGCACTTACCATGACTTTCATTCCAGTAGCTGAACTGTTACTCTTGCTATTGCAGAGAGTAAGTGTGATATCATAGATGGTCACACCACCTTCTTTTCAGGAGCTTCAGCTCCATGTTTCTGCAGGCCTGCAGCATGGTCTCTGCACTCCTCTGCATCAGGGAAGGGGAACTCAAACCCTTCTGCTGAAGCTGCTCTGCATGGAGGATGAAAGCCAGAAAGTTAGTGCATCGACAGAAAAAAACAGGTTTGGGTCCTTGCTGTTCTTCCAAGGTTTATGTCAGAATTTGATTATTTATAGATTTTCAAGATGTGTGGATCATTAACTTGGGCCCATTCACAGGAGAAACAAATGCTTCACCCTTCTGCTGGGGAGTTAGGCAGAACAGTTTTCATGGGACAGCTGTGGAGGCCTCCAGTATAGCCCAGAGCTTCTTCCTCTTCTAAGCTGAGAGGCTGAGCCTTGCCACCTTTCATGCAGCAGAAGGAATTACGGTCTCTTCCCAAGCACAGACTCCATTGCAAAAGGGGCTCATAGGTCACAGACACGAACATTGTTTTTGGTTTTGCCAAAAGAGGCTGGGCCCCTAGCTTCAGATGTTCAGAGCTGAGTACTGCATATAAAGCCAGTTATCTCCAGTAGTACCTGGTATAATATCTGGTAAATAATCTGCAGTCCATGTGCCAGACCCCATTCCAAGGCACTTAATGTTCCCCTGGCTTATATGGAAGATCCAGCTTACCTAAAGACCAATCCTGAGCACCTCTACCTCTTTGTATGATTCAGACATAAAGAAATAGCATATATTTTGTGAATTTTAATTTCTCAGGTACCCTATCATGTTCCCTGTGCTCGAGTATAAGGTAATTTAGGGAGCTAAAGCTATTTAGTGAACTACATAAAAATGTATAAACAAATTAAGGAAAGGTACTATTAAGTAACAATGCTGTAGAAGAGACCACAGCCTGCTTCATAAAAATCTGCAGGTCAAAATAACTAAGAACTATAGGTATAGGTTTCTCACTTCTTTGCATCACCAGATTACAAACCCTTTCTTACTTCCCTTGTGTTTTGCCTATATTCTACTTTTTTCTCAGAAAGTTATTGCTTTTACAACCCCCCAACATAAACTCAAAATAAGAACAACAAATGCAAGTAAATACAGCAAAAGATGTTTAACCACAGCCTCCACAACAAAAGATGAAGTAGACATTGCCAATGAAAGCAGTGGTTGAAGAGCTGTCCAGCAAGAACCTCAGGGATCTGAACAAGACTATGTAGGTATCACTAGCAGCTAAGAAAAGAACAACCAACGAACAAATAAGCAGTTTACAGCTTTTATAAGCAATTCCAACTTCTGTTTTTGCAGAAAAAAAGAGCAGAAGCAAAAGCACTCAATTTTTCCTATTCCTGTTGTACTAAGTTTCTCAACTGTTTGATACCCTTAGGGGCTTTCATTTAACAGGTTTAGATTACTTCTCCCACACCCCAGCATGCCTATAGAGAACTGGCTAAGTCTGAACAGGTAGCGGACACTGGTGTAAGTGTGAACGGGCCTTTAAAATTTGCATATGAAGGGAGGGAAGGGATCCAAACACCTCTTCTAGTGAAATCAGAATGCTGCCACTCTGGGAAATGGATCCTATCCCAGTTTACCAGAGTGCATCTATGAAGTCACTTAAACCAAACTTTTGACAGGTGTCCAAGCGGTCCCTTATTTTTGGAGTTCACAAACTGGGAAATAAGAGATTATTTGCAGAAGTAACAAGTACCGAGAACTTCAGCTAAGAATGGCTGAAGCCTTGTACATATCAAGAGGTGTATAAAGCTAAACACATTAAGAAGTCTGTATCCAAGGGCTGGAAAGCAATACTCCTCAAGCTGGAAGACAGCTGATGACTTTGCTTTGGTCTGCCTTTGTTATGGCTGTTTCTAAGTGAACACTGCACAGTCTCAAGAGGAAAAGTTACTGAATTAACCTCATTAATAATTGCAAAGCATTTTGTCTCCTAGGTAACTGCACTAGAGATTCCTACGGCAGGAGTTAAATAAGGCCTACAGTCACACAGAGAATACAGAAGTTAAGTTATTCAAATAAAACATGTAATGTTTATTTGGTTTAGGTTGGTTTTTGTTTTTCTTTTATTTTCTCCCCTCACTGAAAGGAATACAAATGCTATTGCACTTTTTGGAATCAAAACCAGTTTCTGTGTAATAATGGGTATTTATACTTCTTTCTCAAGATCCTACAAGACTACTTATGTCTTTTTAGACATAACTAAATGAAGGTTGAATAGAGATTAATTTTTTTAATCTCAATTTATATTTAGGGTCCAAACCCCTTCTGCTTTGACACATCTTTTGGTTAACAGTTCCTTTCTGATGGCTCTGCTGAGACTGTATTGCTACATATCACCCAACTAAAAGACACTCTCCCGATCTGCCAAATGCTGCGGCTACTTCCCTAATACAAGGCTGCCAAGTACAACAATCCTGGTAAATACAGCCAAAAGATTCCATGGAAATTCACTCAGAGCCAAAGCAGGGAAATAAAATTTTACAATTTGATTAGAAGGTGATGCTATTAGAAAGTAATCTATTTAATACATTCTCTAATTTGGTCTGTCTCCTAAAAATGTAAACATTTTATTGAAACTCCAACAAACCCTATAAGTGTATCTGATGCCAGTGAGGTGAAAGTTAGATTAACAATATTTTCCAATATTCAGGGGGACAAAATGCTTAACTGTAAACACCACCAAGATACTTTAGTCAGAGAAACAACTGCCAAGTTACTCAAGATATCCCTGTGCAGTTTACAGGGCATGTCTCTGATTCTGTGCCAAGGAGTGATTCCAGGAAATGCTGCAAAGACGAGAAATCAGCTGACTTAACATTAATCACATGACCAAAACTTTCATATTCATATTGGAGGAGGAGATTCTACTTATTGTTGAAACAGAGCAAGAGATATTTCTTAGTTATTCATACCAAGCCTTTGACATTGTTAGTGCTATGATAGAAAGGTCATTATTTGTTCTGGGGCAGGACTGCCTGTAAAGTCATGGCAAACACACAGCAGCAAATGATACAGTTTTGAACTGTTTCATGCTATATGTTTCAGTCAGCAATCTAGTGAAATCTTCATATATTTTATAATAGTCAACGTTTTCCTGTGTACAAAAAAACCTGAAAACCAAACCACAATTCATAAGTTAGGTGTAACTATCTTTACATTTTCTGCTATTGAAGCAGTATTTGAGGACTTGTATCACTTTTAGGATGTTGCTAATCTTTCCAATGTTCAAATACTTCGCAATTAAATCAGAACACTGAAAAATTGGTGATATAGGAGAGTCTGGTCTGCAAAATCCTAGAAAAGGCTGGCAAATTCTAATCAGGTTTTCCCAGGATGTATTTACTTTAAAACAAGGAAGAATGCTTTTCTAATAATTGCATGACAAGTTAATTCTTTGTTTGAATGAAGTAACTCTTGTTTTGACCAAAGATTCTTTCTAGCTCTTAATTTGCTTTAAAAGGAAATTGTAACCTATATAATACCTTGTTAATCACATAATTTGACATAGCTCTTTAGAGAATATAACTAAAACCATTTGCATCGTGTACTTTATGACAAAGGGGAGATTTTTGAGGAATACCAGAGGCTGGTAAAGGCCTATGTAACAGCCTTGAAGAATTACAGAAATAACAAGGACTCTAGCTTGCATACCTTGATAACAATTAATATCCTGAAGAACCTTGAGAGATAACAAAAAGAAAACATTGTGCTACAAGGCATGAGGTCAGCAGAAATCAACAGAAACTAAAGGGGGCAGAGGTAGATCAAGACCACAGACTCAAGAACACTTCCCAGTCAAGACCACTCCTGACAGAACATGCACTTTGATTTAAAAGGACACTGTGCTTTGCAACAGAAGTGGGGAGTGCAATTAACCAAGGAGACCAGTAGTGTTAAGTTACTAACCTGTAAGTGTAAATAAAGGTGGATCTTGATGCTTGTTTAATGGGATAAATATGCCATAGTTTTCCATATGGGGTGTGTTAACTTTGTGGATTTACCACCTAGCACCCCTTTCTGCACAGGACTGGAATAAAGAGCTACCTCTGTGTGGATTGGATTATTGCACGTCTGGTAAATGGACCTCATTTTGGGACAACATAGTGATAGTCTTCTGTGGGATTATCTAATAAAGTTTATTAGGAAAACAGATAATCTCTACAATCAGCAGAGACAAGGATTAAAAAACAGAACACAGGTTCTGTTTTTTAATTGTACAATTTAATCTCTAATGAAATCAGTTAGCAGCTCCAGTGTAGTAAATAAGAGACCTAAAGTCACCTCTCCCTTAGAAGCAAGTACTATTATATCTGTTAAGGAACACAGCACACAGTTATTTTCTGGTGCCTTAGAACAACAAATGCAACAGCTCAGATCATAGAGCAATGTTATGGGATTACTAAATTCAAACCATGTGATTAACTGGCAGAACTGTGCTGAGATGTGAAAGAAGAGCTGATTGATACAGTAGCTGAGATGAATAATCTGGAGTCAAAAAGAGAAGAGGCTTCCCTCTGCTTAACGTGTTTTGTCAGTGCAGTTGCAGGAACTGCTTCTGAGTCAGATGTCAGTTATAGCTCAGTTATTGTTAATATGTTGCTCATAAGCAGAAACAAACAGTAAATAGAGGTCAGGTTCAGGCATGAACAAAATTACTTAAATAATCATATCTCATGATAGATGTCACTTTGTAGCTTCTTTAGGAGGGAAAACCTACTGAAATACTTTGTAGTATTGTAGGCTACTGTGAGCCATCCCATCAAATTACATACAGACTGCCTATTCACTTTTTTTTGTGTAAGTCTGCTGTATTTACTGACACACTACAAAGTGTTGTTTTAATACTACCAAGGACACAATATATTAGATATAAAGCACATATTTTCCCACCCTACAATTACAAATCCTACTAAGTTCTACCAGTTTTCCTGATGCATCAGGTATTGTCTTGCTCTAATAACAGATCTTGCACAAAGCTACTCTCCAGTTGGCTCCTGAAACGTTCACCTTAGTAAATTCTGTGCTTACACAATACATTCTGGTTTAGTAGAATGTTCTAGAAAAGGCTAGGAAGTTATTATTTTCCAGGCTTGTTTAATGCTAGTAGCTAGTCTGAGCTACAAATATTCAATTTATGAGATACTCATTGATACTCACTTCATACTTAGCTGACTGGGCTATTCCCCTCCATTATTGTGAAACCCCTACTCATATCCTGAAGCTCATTTGTCTCCTTTCACTTTCCTACTTCCTTAACTCCGCAATTTAAACAAAAGCAGGAGCAACCCTTTACCACAGGACAGAGCTACCGCCGTGAGCCCAGCGGTGCCTCCAGCGCTGC